CGACTGTTCGTGCTCTTTCTTGGTTGCCAGCTCCTCGAGAGTTCTCCCCAGCGCAAAGTCTTGGGTCGTGATCACCGTGCCTAGGCTAAGCTTTGGTGCTCCATCGCTGCTCTCCGTGGTAAGCGCATTTTTCGCATCTTTTGTCTTGTTAACAACAGGACTGAGCAGCGTTTCCAGCTCCTCCGTCTTGGCCACGTTCTGTATGAGGTTTCCCTTGGCCTTGCCCGGCTGCAGTCTCTCAATGGTCCGCATCACATTCGCCTTGGCCTTGGCCTGCTGAGCCTGCGCCGTAGCCGCTTGCTTCTCCTTGAGCGATTTGCGTTTCGCCTCCTTGGCCATCTGTTGCTTGATGTGCGGCGGCGGTGGCGGATTCAGAAGCAGCTGCGTGCTGCTCGGCTCCTTGGCGGGCTTCAAAGGCGCAGGCGATGCTGTTGCTGCAGCTGCTGCGCCTGCTGCTGGTCCGGTTGTGGGTGGAACGGATGCGGCTGCTGCCGTTTGCGGCGCTGCGGCTGAGGAGTTATTGGAAGACGCCGAGGTAGAGCTGGCAGCTGTGGCTGAGGTGCTGCCAATGGAGTTGCCCGAGTGCATTGAATGCGGCGGTGTGCCGCAGCTGCTGCTCACGCTGCTCGCCGTGGGAAGCACATCGGATTCGGTTTTAATGCTTTGCTTGGGCGCGGTTTCGCTGACCAGCTCGTTGAGCGCTTCGGCCAGCTTGGTGGGCACCAGCTCCGCCTTGGGCGCAGCCAGGGCAACGGGTCGCCTGAAGTCAGCCGCATCCAGCTTGGTGCCAATGCTAGAGTCGAAGTCATCCAGCAGATTGTAGCGCGACGGCGAATTGCTCGCCGAGCTAAACTCCGAGAAGCGCGGCGTGTGCTCCAGCCAACGATTGATGTCCTTTAGCGTTTGCTCCGTCTCCACATCCAGCGCCTCCAGATTCGCATTGCTGTTGGCCGTGGCTTTCTGAGCCGCAGCAGCTGCTCGTTTGCCCGTCATCTTCTTATTGCCCTTTTCAGCGGATTTTTCCGCTGGCTTCGGCGGCGGCGGCATTTGCTTGTCCGCTCGCTTTTTGCTGCTGGCTTTGGTGCTGGAATCTTTAGTCTTGGCATTGCTGGCACTATTGCTGCTAGCCGACTTGACTGCATCCTTGCCAGCCGACTCTGTTTTAACGGCTGGCAACGGAGGCGTTGACGTTTTGGGCTGCGCCGGTGGTGGCGGCGTCAAATCCCGCAGCAGTGGCTTTTCAATGCTTTTTGGTGTCTCTGCTTTCTTGGGCTGTTTCTCCACGGGCTTCTCTTCCTTCTCTTTCTCCTTCTCCTTGTCAGGCTTTTCCAGCTTGATCGACTTCTCTACGCTGCCGCTGGACTCCTTGGCATGCTTTGGTTCTTTGCTTTTACGACCACGTTTATGCTCCGCTGGCGGCTCTGTTGTATTTTCACGCTTCTTCTTGGAGTTGGAATTGCTTTTGATACTCGTCGATTTGGAGTCCTCGGAGGGCGCTAGAGAATTGGATGCACTGGAATTGCTTTGAGCTGCGCGACTGCGTCGATACTTGATCACATCGTATTTGTCCATGAAGGGCAGCAGCATCTCCAGTTCCGCTTGCTCGGCAGCTGCGGCTGCTGCAGCCGCCGCCTCTGCTGAGCTCTTCTTGTGCTTGGCACTGCGCGACTTGTCCTTATCCTTATGCTTATCCTTGTCCTTTTCCTTGTGTTGCGTGCTTTTCTTGTCCTTCTCTTTCTCTTTCTCTTTCTCCTTTTTCACCTCTGACTTCTTGCCGCGCTTTGTGGCCACTGGCGAGGGTCGACGTCGTCGCTCATCGGAGCTACTGTTGCTGGCTAGGGACATGAAATCGGATTCCGAGTCCTGATCGGACTTGTCGACCTCGTGACGTGCGCTCAGCTTGGAGGTCTCCACACTGGTCACCTTTTTCACTGTTGTCAGCAGCTCGGAGAGATCATCGTTGAGCGCGCTCTTTGAGTATTTCTTGTGCAGATCCACCTTGAAGGGCGACATGCTGCGCGATCGTGAGACGTCGTCATCGTCGTCATCATCATCGTCTGCATCCGCATTGTCGTCGTTGTCGCGTTCGTCATCGTCCTCCTCCAGCTCTGCAGCAGATTCTGCCAGCGCTGCAGCAGCTGTTGGTGGCAATTGCTTCTTATCAAACAGTGGACTGTCGTCGTCCAGGTCGTCCAGCTCCCGCTCGCCTTTGCCACGACCTCGTCCTCCCTTCTTGCTCTTTGGCTGACGCTTCACAGGCGTTGGTGTCTTCACCTTCGACTCGGCGGGCACCATTTTCTTCTTTTGCGCGGCTATCGTGCGCGCTGTCGGCTTCACCAGCGATTTCACTTTGGCCAGAGCCAATTCTTCATCGTCGCTCGACTCGGGTTCAGTGGGTGGTGGATTGCTAGCTTCCGACTCGGTTTCCGTTTCGGGCGTTGACTTTTTACTCGCCTTTTTGGTCTTTTGTGTTTTGGTAGTGGGCTTCGAGGAACTGGTGGCCGACGTTGACTGCGAGGACTTGCTGCCTTTGGCTTTGCGTCCACGTTTGCTCGACGTGGCCAGCTCTGTGTCCTTTTCCCTGTCCTTATCCTTGTCTTTGTCTTTGTCTTTGTCTTTTTCCTTAAGTACTTTGTTACTTTTGCTCTTCTTGATCACAGGCGGCGGTGGTGGCGGCTCCGGCTGCAAGTCCTCCTCATCCGTCTCCGCATCTTCATTGTGACCCATGTCTCTTTCGGGTTTTGTTTTGGTTTTTTTCTTACGCCGTTTATCCTTCTCCTTGCGTTTACGTTTTTGCGCGTGTGTTGTCAGCTCCGCGGCAGGCTCCTCCGTTTCACTGTGCTCCTCCTCCTCCGCACTTGTGTCCTGTATACGTTTACTCGACGTCGAGTTCGCTGAGGATTCCTTACCGTCGTCACCTTTCGCTTTCTTGCTGAAGTACTTCTCGCGGAATACATTCATTTTGGAATCAGCGGCGGGATAACTTAAATTCGGATCATCATCGTCGTCTTCGGAGAGATTATCGAAATATTTCTTGGTCGCCTTATCAAAGGCATCCTGCAGATTGTTGACCATTTCCGTGTACTCTGTGAAATGAGAGATTATTTACATAATTCTTATCCAGATATTTAATTGAGATATGGCATACCATTGTTGTGACCATTGTACAGTCTACAGTTGTTGACAATCAAGCGAAAATCGTTGCGAAATTCGCTGAACTTGTGATACTTCCCACTGTCCAGTTTATCCTCCATTTTGAGCAGGTCCATGGGTCTACGAAAGAAGTGAATTAATGTAAGATAGCTAGGATGTACTTGATATTTTTGTATACGTTACCTTCTGATAATTGAGTAATATCGCGGCGCGATATCCTCTTCAACGGGATCCATGAAGGGCCATGCATCCCGATGATTTTTCACATAGACAAGCACCTTATGCATTCCGATTTGTAGCACCTCCTCCGTTTCGGTAAAGCTAAGAATATTCGCATGATTTGAGGAGTTGTACGTTGAATTGTTGTTTGCTTTCGCTGATGAAGTGGTTGTTGTTGTTGTTGTAGTAGAGGTGGTGTTGGTGTGATTTGTTAGATGATGGGTTATGGGTCTGGTTACATTTGTTATGTGTGGTTGTTGTGTGGTGTTTGATGTCGAGGAATGAGATTTATGTTTATTACTGTTAATATGACTATGTGAATGGTGGGTGGAGTTGGTGTGGTGCGTGTGATTGGTGGTGTTGTGTGATGATGTTTGGGCTCCGTGCGGCGTTGTTGTTATTTTTGCTGCATTTGCATTTGCTGCCTCCGACGTTGAGTGGTTGTGATTGTTGTTGTTGTTGTGATTGTGGTGCGACGCGTGCTTATGGTGGTGGTGGTTGTTGTTGTTGTTGTTAAAGCTGCTGTTGCTACGGTTGGTACTATTTACATGGCTACATTTTTTGTTACGGTTATGATGAACAGTCAAAATGTTGTTGTTGGTTGTTTTTTGGTGGTAGGTACAAAAGTTTACAATACAAATGGGTAATAGAATGTTAATTCAATCGATATATTATATACAATTTGATGAAATATGATGTGTTGGTTAGTTGAGATAAGTGCAAGAGTTAAGGACATGCAATCAAAGAAACATAGAAGCAACACTACTTGAGGGAGTTACAGTAGGGCGTGGGATCTTAATTTTAAAATATGAAATACCCTTGCAGATATATATGCTCCATTTAATAATAGGTCTGTCCAATATTGATCATTATATATATTTACTTTAAGTAATTTAGAAGTCTCTAAGGTTTTTTTTTTTAATTAAAACTCTTTTTAAGAGTAATTTCCTTTAGCAACCATAGCTATTTACAATTTGATCAAACAAATTTTCTTGTATTTGCTTCCTACATGACAACTTAGCTCACATATCAAATCTTACCAGTTTAACTTTATAGAGAGTCGAGTTCGTATAGGTTATACATACATATCTGCAAAAGCATTTAAAAGACAACTAAAATATCTAAGCTCTGAGCTACTTTCAGTATATAAGACTTTGCTTTGCTATAAATCATAGATAAACAGTCTCTATAAGCCTTTTACAAATACATTTTACATAGATTAGTAGTAGATCTTAGAGATCCACTCATATAGAAAGTACGTATGCGTAAGTGTTCGTGAGTGTGTGCTGTTGGGGGCTTTGTTTGCTTAGTTTTAGAGTTAATTGAGTACTTACTCATCGGCACTCTTGTCAGAGTAGGCGTTGCTAATGCGTTCTGCCTTGCTGGACGAGGAGGCAGTGGAGGCGGCCGACGATGGCGTTCCCGTTGCTGTTGACTTTTTGCTTTTCGATGGCGCCTCCGATTTACGTTCCGCTTTGGAGGAGCTGCCAGAGCTGGCGCCAGCAGCGGCCTTTTGTTTCTTGGAGCGTGCCGTCGTCTCGCCAGAGGAAGAGGTGGAGTTGTTGTTGTTACTGATGCTGCTGCTATGTTGTTGCTGCTGTTGTGTGCCCGTTGGAATAAATATGTTGCCCGTTAGGGAGCTGAGTGAGTTGTTTGTTTGCCGGCCGGGCAACTTGACATTGGCCGCTGGCGCCATCTGCTCCTCCCGCTTGACAGCTGGCACTGGCGGCGGTGCAGGCTGTGTTGGCTCTGGCTGCTGGGGCTGCTGCTCCTCGCTGTCATGCGCGACGGGCGAGGGCAGGCTTAGATTCGCGATGCTTGTGGCGACCGCTATGGCCGCCGAGTTTGTATCCAGCAATTGCAGCTGTCGGCAAAAGTTCTCCTTATCCTCCGGACTCAATGAAGGAGTCTCTGGACTCTCGGGCGACAGCTGATGTTGTGGTTGCAGCTGCTGGTGTTGATGCTGGCGACTATGGCGTCGCTTGTGGTTCCGTCCACCTGTTGTTGGGTTGTTGCTGCTGCTGCTGTTGCTGTTGCTATTGCTGTTGTTGCTATTGCTATTGTTGTTGTTGCTGTGGTTGTTGTTGTTAGTGTCGTCGTCGTCTGTCTCAGACGCATGCTTGTGTCGCCGCCGATGATGATGATAATGCTGTTGATCCCGTTCACCACGATCTCTGTCACGATCGCGACGCTCGCGAGAGCGTTTCTTTTGCTTCTTGCCTGACTTCTTCTTCTTGTGGTGGTGGTGATGATGATGATGATGATGATGGCCCTTGTTCTTGAATTTCGCTGGCGATTGCGATTTCTCTCGCGGCGGCGGTGGCGGCGTACGAAACTTATCGCCAACTGCCTTTACAGAGCCCAAATGCTGATGCGGCTCGAGCTGTTGTTGATCTTCAAGTTGCGGCTGTTGTTGCTGCTGCTCGAGTTGTTGCTGTTGCTCTAGCGCTAGTTGTTGATGCTGCTGCTGTTGCTGTTGTTGTGTTTGCTGTTGCTGCTGTGGCTGCGGCTGCTGCTCTTGTGTCGACTCCTCGTCGTCGTTCTGGTCATCCTCTTCGGGCGACAAACAAAAGGTTTCCCTGTGGCACAGAAATTCGCTCGAATTAGTTGTTGTTGTACGTCTGAGGGAGCTTGCGTAAGTTGAAATACCACTAGCTGTTGACGTCGACTGAGAACTGAAGCGAAAAGAGCAAAGTGAGAGAGAGAGAGAAGGAAATCATGAGTAAATATTGCTGACAATTCAGAGGATATAAAAAGGCATTTAACTATTTTACAGTAGAAATCGCTTAAGACTAAAATTAAATGAGTATTAATATTATTGCCCTGATATATGATGACTAGTTACTTGGCTGAACAAGTTGATTAAGCATTTACAAGAAAATGAAATTCAGATACAGTGAATGCACACAAAGAAGAATTTTTAAGTTTACATTAAGTATTACAAAAATTAAAAAATAAAAACTTTTCAATGGAAATGGAAATTTTTGATCTCTTTTAAGGCATTCACTGTAGCTTCGTTAATTTGCAAAACGATTTTTACTGTTATGTTATATATATACTATGGAAAAGTCTGTGATTATTTGCTGCGTAGATAACATTGCTGCAGATGGAGGCCCTGTTCGATGAAAGCTTAATGGAATGAGGTGCCACAACAAATGTAAAACTTAAATTATGAAAAGTATAAACAAAATATAATAATTTGCAATATATCAAATATAGGAATAGTAAAAAAAGCATGCTTACATAATTGTTCTTAGTGTTTTGTTTTTTTTAAGTTTTTTTTCTGATTTTTTTTGTTTGCTTTTGAAAACGAAATCCAACCAATTCTTTTCAAATTATGGACAAAACTCAAATTAAGTGCGTGTCGCTCGATTATTTGGTCCAGTTGCTCTCAGTGTCTCTCAGTTTCTCTCAGTCTCTCTCTCGCCGGCGGCCTGTTGTTAAGCGTCGATGAGAATGTGTTTGGTTTTTCTATCTTTTTTTTTTTTTAAGTTAAATTAAGTTTCAATGACAATTCTTTAAGCAACTTGTTTGTTGTCTTTCAAGTAAATCAAATCGAAATGAAAACAAAAACAATTTCAATAATCAAACTTAAACAGCGGCTTTTGAAACTAAATATGCTTGGATGTGCGTGTGCTTGATAGTTCTGGCTGTTTGTTATTGTTGTTGTCTGTGTTGTGTTTTTGTTGTTGTTGTTGTGTGGTTGTTTATGATTGTGATATATGCTGTCCGCTTGTTGCTCTGTTTATAATACTGGACGTGCTAACCGTCTGCGTGAGCGTTGCTGCACCGCTGGCGGTGCCAAACTTGCTGAATATTGTCGTTCGCGACGTTCACGTTCACGTTCTCGCTCCCGCTCCCGCTCACGCTTACGCTCCTCCTCTTGGCGCGCCTTCAACTCCTCTTCCTGGCGCGCCTTCAACTCGGCTAGATTACGTATGCGACTCGAATTGCGCACTTGCAGCAGTCTGTAATCGAATGAGAATGATAAACTTCATTACTGAATGTATACAAATTTCGATAATGAGAGTACAGTTAGTCGCTTCACTTTTCTTATTGGCTAAAGCTAGGTTGATCCTAAATCAATCAAAGCAAATAATACTCGTTTCTTCATCTATAAAACACTTACTTTCTGCGTCTCAAACGTTCACGTTCGCGAAACAGCTGTGGCAGCTTGGGCAGAAAGTTCTCATCCAGTATTTGGAAGAGTTCACGTTCTTTACCATTCGTTGAGGTCTTGAATTTGGCCGCCAAATTTTGCCAGTCCTCTTCGGTGAAGCAAATCACCTGCCAGACAGTGCTGCTGCTGCCCAAAGCTGTATTTCCACTGGAGCCAATGGATCCTCCAGCTGCTGCTGCTGTCGATCCTTTGCCAGAACCGGAAGCTGTGTTGGCTGTTGGCTTATCCTCGCGATAGAGTCGCGTACCGTAGAAATACCAATATCCCGAATTTTTCGCGTCGTAGCCGAGCGGCTCAACGCGCAAACTGTCCGCCTCTAGATTACTGAGTATGACCTGCACATCGACAGAGTCCAGGCGAAAGTGACATAAATCGTGTAGAATTTGTAGGCGCTTGCGAACGGGCAGCGATTGAAAATCTATGTCCGTATCAAAGTGATTCTCTGTCTGATGCAGGCGACACTGTTGGCGCAGAAATCGGCGCAAAAACATTTGATAATTGCTATGTGTAATCTCATTGGCTACCGACTGTAGCGCATCGCAGCCGGTTAAAAGGCGTACAATTAATTCGGGCACTAAGGCAACTTGATCCTCATCGCTGGTACCATCGGAGAGCAGCGCCGATTCGAGGTCCTGCAAGCGAAATAGAGAGCACCATAGTTAAGTTATATTCCAATAGCGATTCCATATATGCAACACTCACCTCAATATCAATGTCTGGCAAATCGAAGGCGGAACTAAACAATGAACAGAAATGCGAAATACACGGTATCTCCCACCATGATTGTATGTCTAAAATGCAAATATATTAATAGATAAGTAAATCCATTGATTCTTCTTGGTTGTATGGCTGGCTTACCCAATAGGCCAATGAAAGTAGAAACCATTTATGTATGCTTTATGTCTTAGAAACTTGGTTGTCTTCAAGATTAAATTAAAAACAATTCCAGGGCGCGGTTGTGTTTGCTTTCTGGTCGTTCCCTGTTGCTTAATTATAAATTCGCTTCACAAACTCTGTGCAAGAAAATTAGTAATAAATTCATTTAAATACAATTTAAATCAAGAGTCTTTTTCTGACATGCAGTCAACTGATATATTGATATTTTGACTATATATATTTAAATTTATATTTATGTATTTTAAATGCCACACAGCTCCTCATCAAATTTATATACCATACGGCCAGGGTATGTCATGAACAGAACACATGTACTCTAACTCAATGGCGGCAAAAATATAAACGCGTGTGCAACATGTGTGCCTGTGTGTGTGTGTGTGCGTGTGCATGTATGAGCGTGTGTTGTTATTGTCAATTTGTTTGAGATACACAAACAAACACGGCTGCTTATCAATTATCAAAAGCGCGCGCGGCGTAAATTGCGATGCACACACACTGTTACATTTTTGAGAGAGCACCCACACACTTGCGTTTTGGGAGAGAAAGAAAGTACACGCGCACCCCTTTCGCGCGCTTAATTTCAAGAAGAGAAAATCAAAACAGATGGCCAATAAACTAGGCCCACAAACAAAAACGAGTTGCCTCCCGCATGGGCGGGAGTGGGACGACCATATATGCGGCCAGTGTTGTTCAGCGCTAGTTGTGCCGCTCACTTTTTTCCACAGCACTGTTGATTTCTCGGCTGGTCGATGAATTCCGCTCCCTTCCCCTGCTTTCATACTACAGTTATTTTGCCTGCTGTCTGCACTTCTATTTTCTTTTCTTGCATTTTTATAATTAATATGCCCTTTCGCTGAACGCCAATCGGGAATGTTTTTAAATAAATTACGCGCGATTTTAGGACAGCAGCGCCCCTCGAGCATGCGTCGCCTTTGACACTGCCTTGTTGCGATGCTACGCTGTGGTGCTGCTGCTGCTACTGCTGCCTCTGGCTGTGTGTATATATTTTTTCATTTGCGCTTTCCTTTTGCCGTAACAGTGAAGCACGCAATTGGTCGACAACGGCTGTTTAATTATTATTGCTTTTAATTATTTAGCAGATGTATGCACTTCATGCACTCAACGAGCAATAGCAGATATTGCTGTTTTTACTTCAACTTGCTTTCTTTTTCACATATAAATAAAATTAATGGACGTATGAACCTTACCGAACGACAGAATTTAAGCAATGCGCCTCAAACTGTTGGCAATATTGCCCAAACTGTGCGCTGTTACGCTCTCTATTGGACTGTTACATACTATCGATATATCGTGTGCGCATGTGTTTCGACTAAGTATCGATTCATCGCTTCAAGATATTTTAATTTTATTTCTATAATATAAAAAATTTTATGAAACAAATTCGTTACAGTGGTAATTTTGAATAAATTTGTTGTTGCTCTCTTTATAATTACATACAAACTAAGTATATTTTTGGGAAACGGCCTGGGTTAGCTGTTAACTGATTAAAATAAATTTGAACTATTTATTTGCGAGCATAACTAGACTTAGTTTCCGCAAGATGTCTCCATATATTTACTCATACCATCGAGCCTCTCGTGTTTCAAATAACACGCAACAGTGTGCAACAAATAAACAACTGGCCAATTACACTGGGATCCGTATACCAAAATGTGTTGGGTTAACAGCCTGGGTCCTGGGTTCGGTTCAAGAGCGGGAAGTTTTCTTGTTATTTTTTTTGTAATGGGTTCTCTTTTTAACAACTGAAAATTTTGACTGAGTTGGAAATATGTTTTCAAAATTTCAATATGTTTAGACCAAAAAAACTTTTTTTTTGCATTTCTTTGAAGTTGCACATCTTCATTAGAGTTGCAATTAGGTTAATAATCGATAATTCACAAGTTTCGAGTAGTTTATGTTCGAGCCGCTGTGTTTTGGAATTGAAGTTCAAAAAGCTATGACTTAAAAAGTAAATAGAAAAAGCTGCACGTGTGCAATCCTTTTTTTTTTTTTTTTGTTTCTTGCCCGCTGTCTTCCAATCGGTCGTCCTTTGCTGGTATAAGTATCTACGAACTGTTCTTCTGCAAGGCGAGCATTCGCTGTTGCTGTTGCTGTCGACGCAGGCGCTGCTGCTCCTGAGCTTGTTGTTGAACATTTCTAATGTGGACATTTTTAATCAATTTGTTGTTATTCCTGGCTGGCTGTTGTTGTTGCTGCTGTTTTTTGTCTTTGCGAGAGGATGGATGCTCCATGTTGGGTCCCTTTTGACGTTGATCGTGAGTGAGTAGAAATCCCGTTAACTTGCCGTCCCATATAATCAGTCGAATGGGTACCACAGAGAGAAATTGCAGTTTATATGGCGGCTGCTTCAGATTCCTCTCAGCAACCAGAATAAAGTTTGGTGCATTATGCGTATCAATGAGCACTCGCTGCATTTTGTAGTTAATACTAATGACATGGCCCGATTCGAGAGTAACCACATTCATCATATGCTGAAAGATCTCCATGACCACGGCACGCATATAAACCACCTGTCGGTTGCTCACGTACCGCTTGAAGAACAAATTGCTAGAATCATCGCCCGCTTGCTTGGCATTATATTTGCGGTCATTTGCAATCTTTGTCAAATGATGCAGTTCTTCTGGAGTGCGTTCCGGTGCGGTACAGTAATTCAAACCGGCGGCAAGCAGGCTGCAAAATCACGAAAAGGAGTATTTAAAAATAGGAATGTGGTTCACAAATATCGATAGACATTTAAATGATAGCCGATATTAGCGATTCTCATTATAACTGTCAACACTGAAAATAGTTTTTTAAGTTGTTGAGTCAGTGAAATGCAAAAATAATTTGACATTATTTTAGCAGTTTAAAAGGTGAGCTTTTGCTATTGTAAGGTGAATTATGTTCAGAGTGTCAAAACTAGCAAATTTCGAATATAATGTAATATGGCAATTCAAACATTAAACATCCCTCTATGAGAAAATAAAAACCAGAAAGGTACTTACCGATGCACCATAACATCCGGATAGCGTCGAATTGGACTCGTAAAGTGGGTGTAGATGGGTATGGAGAGGGCGTAATGCCATAGATCGGACGGTTCCGTTTTGCCATCGCTGCATATATAGCTGTGAAAAAAAAAAGAAACATGATTAATATCCTGTAATAATATACCTATAGATTTATGCGATCAAATTTATATTGCCTCTCATGCTCTACAAATGCTTTCAAAACTTTACAGGGTATAAAATTCTGCTATCGGTCAACTTACGTGGCACGCGCCATGGGCTTCATTAACAGCTGGCTTAGACACGCCGACATAGCCACCGGATCGGCAGCCTCCTGGCAGATTTTTTGCATGCTCGCCTGCAATGCCTTCGAGGAGCTGTAGTCCAGATCTAAGCCGTGGGCTTGAAGCTTCTCACGCAGCGATCTCAGGGACTTGGTCAGAGGAGGAGGATGATTGCGCAGCACCGCAATTTTGGGAAACGCATCGTGGATGAATTTGGCCACCGCCTGATTGGCCAGCAGCATGAACTCCTCGATCATGTGATTCGCTTCCCTCTGTTGCTCTATCTCGAAGCCAATGGGTTCGCCTTCCAGAGGATCCAGAGTAAACCGCACCTTGGCATTGTTGATGGTGAGGGCGCCATTGTCGAAGCGTTTGGTACGCATATTGGAGGCAATGCCATGCAGCCAGGTAACTCTCTGGACTATATCGTTGACGGTAAAGCCGTTGAGGATGTTGGGAAAATCGTCCTCGGTGAAGGGTTCACTAGGATAATCGATTATCTTCTGGGCATGCTCGTACGCAAACTGTGAACATGAGTTAATGATGGATCGCGTAAAGGCTGGCTTGCCCAGCTGCTTGCCCTGGCCATCCATGCGCCAGAACACAGAGAACGAGTATTTATCCTCCCCTGGCAACAGAGAGCAACGGAAGCACAGCGTCTTTGGCAGCATGTGAATCACCTCGTTAGCTAAGTAGATCGAAGTGGAGCGTTCCTTGACAATGTTGTCTAGCTCACTGTTCTCTTGCAGATAATGGGAGACGTCGGAGATGTGCACACCAACCTCAAATTCATTCTCGCTGATCTTCTCTATGGAGAGGGCATCATCCAAATCCCTGGCAGTCAACGGGTCAATGGTGAAGACGCAACTCTTGCGCATATCACGGCGATTTACTAGATCATCAGCTGTTACGGCAGGCGCTGCGTCGGCGTACATCTTATTGAAGCGCTCCTCATACGGCACAATGTCTCGCAAACTGTTATGGAAGAGAATGGCCTTCAGTTCGCTATCCAGATCACCAACACGTCCCAGCGGCTGCACCAGCTCCGCAATGCAATGGCCATTCGAGTCCGTCTCCAGTATGTGCGCCAGGTAGAGCAAGCCGCACACCTCGTCTATCTGCTTGCCACCCAAATGAGCAGCACAGCTGGCCTGTGGTATATAGACCATGGGCATGCGTAAATCAAAGGGTCGGAATTTGTAAAAGAGCTCGTCGTCGCAGAGCTTGGTGGGATTGGTGAAGGAAATGTTGCCGACGATCTGACGTAACTCCGTTTGCTTAACAATGGCAATGACAAAGGCTTTGGGACAATTATCCGAGGCAATGACTGTCACACTGTCATCGTCCGAGTCCTGCGATTCGGTCTCATCCGATAACTCTTCGTCCTCAGCTGCGAAGGGAGAGGGAGAGCGTGAGTGAGAGAACGTTAGCTGCTTTCCGAATGCTATATATTTACCCAATGATAGCGATCCCTTGCCACCTATAATGGCGCCCGATGACGCATCCGTTGTCTTGCTCACTGCGGCGCCCACATTCAGGACAAAGGCACGCACTGTATCTCCCTCGAAGGCATACCGCCTGGCCACGGGCAATAGGACGATGCCATCACGCTCAAGTGTCTCGCGATCCGTCGACATGGTGATGAATGCCTGGCGATTATTCTTCCGATTCACACGGATCTCCTCCTCGACGATGCGACCATAGCCAGCTGCCACCAGGCGTCGAGCATGCGTCTCCAAGTCACCATAGTCACCCTTGAAGACCAGCTCCTGCGGCAACTGCTGCTCGCTGCCCACATACTGTTGCACGATCTTATTGATGTACGATCGCATAGCTTCCAGTTCGGTCTGCAGAGATCGAGGCGTATTCTTATCAGTGCGCTTCTTGCGGTTGCGATTGCGCTTGCGCGGCGATTGAGCGCCAGAATTATCCGACTGTTGTTGTTGCTGCTGATACTGCTGCTGCTGAGGTGTTGCAGCTGTGCTGCTGCTGCTCGTGGTAGATAGATCTGAGTCACGTCGTGAGCGCAGCACCTCACCGAAACGCATTTGATTCATAGGATGTACTTGATTTGCAGGCAATCGGGCAGTTGATCGCTGCTGCTGCTGTTGCAGTTGCAACTGGTGTTGCATCTGTTGTTGACGATGCATGTCCATGCCACCATCGATGCGACGCGCGATGGGTGCTCCCGACAGGCGCATGAGATTAGCTGTCATATAGTTGTTTGCTCTGTTCAGTGGCTGACCATCTGAAAAATTCAGCCAATCCAGCTGGGCGAGCACCTCATTTTGGGTTATGAACTGCTGGGCGTGCGCCTTGATATCGGGGCTCAGGCAGGCGAGTCTTAGCACAAGCTCCTTTAGAGCATCTACCTCGCCGTTGAGCACTTGGCGAGATTTGCGCTTCCTCTTTTGCTCCTGTTGTTGTTGCTGCTGCTGCTGCTGCTGTTGTTGTTGTTGATGCGTTGGCGGCATGGCTGCAGCTGTTGTTGTTGCTGTTGCTGCTGCAGCGGTAAGACTATGCATGGGCATACCGTAGGAAGGCATGGGATAGGGATAGCCAGACATAGGCAACGGCATATGAGTCAAATGATTTTGCTGATGCTGCTGTTGCTGTTGCTGATGCTGCTGTTGTTGCACATGATTCGCCGTGGCAGTTCCTGTTGCAGCGGCGACATTGAGCGTTGGCATTGAGCGCTGCTGCGGCAATTGCGTTTGCGACTGTGAGACATAATTGCGCATAAATTGATTGGCTTTTTGCTCAATCAGGGGATAGTCCGAGGTATTTGGCAATTTGGTTGCAAATTCCTTTTGCGTTTGCTGCAGCCGCGTGGCCAGACGTTGCGAACGTTGGCGTAATAGCTCAATCGCAGTCGGATAGTCAGATTCGGTATCAAGTTGTTGCTGCTGTTGATGTTGCATTCTGCATGTCGATGGTTGCAGTGGATCCGTTACAGCACTTTCTAAGCTCCCTACGCTCGACGTTTTTGACATGTTTAAAAACAGTTATTGTTGCTGCACACCAAAACGGGTTTGTTAAATAAAAAATACTTGTTTTTTTGTTTATATCTTGGCAGCGTATTTCACATGCTATGACAACAAAAACCCACATTCGATTCAATGAGGCGCAGAGCGTGTTTTCCTCTCTTTGCGCATAACGTCACAAATTTGTATATGACCTTGGGAGCCAAATTTTACCTAACTTAATTTCAATTGTTGAGCCATATACACATTAATATGATCTAAATGAAGTTTAACAAATGACCCTTAAATATAAAACAACAAAAGATGCTTAAAACTATGCTGGCTTTATATTTGTGACGTCATTTGATTTCTGTATTGGCGCAGTCCCATCAACCTAGTGCTGGAATATAAATGAAAACTTGCGATATTTTGCCGCACTATCGCAAAACTAAACACATGCTTTATCTATCGATAAATAATATCGCAACCGAATTATGTATCAATAGTGTTGTAAAACCTTCGCGCCATTTTTCTCGTATCAATCACCTCCTGCATTTTTTCGCAGAAATTTCATTTCCTGCATTTTTTCGGAATGTTAAAGAATGCACGATAGAAAAAAGGATTATCAGAGTGGTTATGTGCTAGCGTGAGGGTGTGCATTTTGGTATTGTGCGTGTGTTGGCAATTGTATGTGTGCGTGTGCAAGTAGTAAGAAAAAAAAGGCCAAATCCAAGGTACACAATTTATTGTTTATTTATGTATGTAGCTTGCTTTACTCCGTTGTTTGTTGCAAATTTTATAAGTTTGGCTTTGTATACTTGAATTGCTAGCAAATTAAACATATATACATACATACACAAACACACATAGACACTACTACACTGACACACATACAGAGCTTAAACTATGTACGAATGTAAATCAAGAGACAAGAGACAACAATGACTGATGTAAATTGTCTTACAAGTGAGCAAACAACAACAACAACAACCACACCAACTACTACTACCACAACAGCTGAAGAGGCAGCCAATTATACCACGCCCACTAAAAATGTACTGGAACAGCCGCCCACATCGCCTTTCATATTGAGAGCACCGCCCAGCGCCAAATCCAAATTAATCTTACAAAACATGGAGGAAGTTTTGAATACCGTGAAGCAAAAGCATCGTGAGAAACACAAGCGAAAGCGCGAAGAAAAACGACGTGCTGCCCTGCTAGCCGAGCAAGCGACAGCAGTTGAAGCCACAAATGCTGCCGCAGTGCCCGCGGCCGCGGCAACAACAACAACAACAACGCCGAATGGCCGCCACGTGCTGCGAGAGAAAACGGCGCGGGAGAATGGCTTGAGTCAAGCGAAGCGTAAATCGAATAGCAGCCCGGTCAAGAGCACAACGCCGCAATCGTCGATCATGAAGGCTGAGCCGGCGAGCAAAACCCCAGCCAAAACCACAAATGTATTCGAACTGATGATGAATGCACGAAATCGCTCTATGGGCACCAATGCCAATGGCCAGGAGCTGGCCGAAGCCGTGGAGCCCATAGTCACGCCTCATACCAAACGCAAGCAAATGCTGCAAGAGTGGAACGACCGCAAAGGCGGCGCCAAGCGGCGATTGGCGGACGAGGCACGTGGCGACTACATTGAGCAGAAAATGGAGCAGCGGGCCAAGCGGTAAGACGAACCCAGAATCTTAATAAAAAACAATCCATGATCCATCCAAATCAATTGCAGGTTAAAGAAAATGTTGACTCAACCCAACGAGCTGAGCGAACGAAAGCAATCCAACAGCGGCAGTCGGGAGCTACCGCGGGTGCGTAAGCAGACGAGCAGCGGTCAGGAGACGAAGGAGACAATCAACATCCAGGAGGTGCAGAAGGAGAGCACGCAAACGCAGACACAAGCAACTTCGGCTCCAACTAAAAGAATGCGCGGACGTCCACGCACGCGGCGGCTCAGCGCAGATGTGGAGACAGCTCTGCCCGTTAGTGCCGATCCCGAAACGCTGCAGTTTCTATCGAAGCTGTCATCGCCCACCAAGAAGCGCGACAGCCTGTTGGGCTACTTTACCAAAGTGGACTCGCCACAGAACTCTGCGGAAAGAGAAAAAGAAAAACCGGAAATCAAGTTGATCGAGGAGACAATAGAGACGCCCAAGCGCCGGCCACGCGCCAGCAAATCCAGCTCAAATCTCATAGTCAATGTTGAGGAAACCTCGGCGACAACAACTCCTTCCGGCCGCCCGAGACGCTCGTGTGCGGCCAAGGCACGCTACGACTACGACCTGGAGGTGAGTCCGACTAAGGCCGTTAAGCCATCGCCTGCGGTGGAGGAAAATGATTCCATAGAAATCATAGATCTGGACAACAGCAATCCGGCTGTGACGCCAAAGAAATTGGCGCCGCTCTTCATGCGGCAGGTGCCCAAGCCGAGTCCCGATCCCACGGCGTTGCGCGCACGTCAGGAGTTTCTGCACTCCGGCGTGCCAGAGAAGCTGAAGCAGGAGCAGCAACGGCAACGTAGCTACGAGCAATACTACGAGGACAGCTACGAGCTGTTCCCGAGCATAGCCCATGTGGGCAGCGAGCGACTGGAAGTGAAGCAAGCGAGCAAGCGGTTGCCTTTGCGAGCGGAGGAGCAGCAGGAAGAGGGCGCTGCAACGATAGCTCGCAAAACACGCCCAGGCAGCATAACCAGCTGCACTGCCTCCGATTTTGTGGCGAGTAGGAAGAGAGCTCCCTGCAGCTGGACGCCCTTGCCACAGTTGGACAATAAACGGGCCATGGTCAAGAACTGGAAGAGCATCTTCGATCGTTTTCCCACCTTCAAGTGCTACAATCAAATGCGTGAGAAGTATAGGCATTTCAGTGCTATTGATGCGGCGCAGGACACGCAGCCGATGGGTGAATCCTTTGTGATGACACGACGCACGCGACGTTCCGTCCAACAGCAGGACATGGGCAAGGAGGAGGATTTCCATCCACCCGCCCTGGCTCCCAACGGCGAGCTCCTCTTCACCGAGAAGTATAAACCGCTGCTGTTCGAGCAGGTCCTCGTGAATCTGACGCCCGTGCAGGAGCTGCGTGACTTTCTGGCCAACTGGAGCGGCGCCAGCGCCAGCAATCGGAACTCACAAACGCTCGACGACAGCTCCAACGATCACGACTCCAGCTCGATGAGCGGCAGCTGCAACACAATGGTGCTGCTCGGGCCCTGCTCGAGCGGGAAGACGAATGCGGTCTTCGCTCTGGCGAACGACATGAACTTTAATGTGCTGGAGATAAATGCGGGCATGCGACGCACGGGCAAGAAGCTCATACAGGAGCTGCAGGAGGCGACGCAGTCGCATCAGATACGCAAGGAGGCGAAAGCGGGCGCCGCGCCCACGCAGCAGCTGCTCCAGAAGCTGCAGCAGAATGGGCTGAAGGCGAGACGCAACCAGGGCGACGACGATGTGCGAAAGTCTCTGATACTGATCGAGGATGCGGACATTGTTTTCGATAACATCGATGCTGGCTTCACGGATGCCATTTACACACTCGCCGCCAGCTCGAAGCGTCCCGTCATCATCGTGGCCAGCGATCCGAACTGCGCGCACCTGCAGCGCCTGATGCAGCAGAATACGATCAAGTTCCAGGCACCGAACGCCCTGAATATCTCGCGCTTCCTCGCCGTGCTGGCGCTCATGGAGAACTGCCCGATCGAACTGGATGAGCTGATATCCCTCTATTTGTTCAACAATCAGAATCTGCGCAAGACTCTGATGGAGCTGCAGTTCTTCATACAGAGCGGAGGCGATGCCAAACGGGAGCAAGTGGCACTTGCTGCTCCTCCGTCCGGTTCACCCAGCAGATCACCCCGCTTGGCCACTTTGCCCGGCGTCCAGATACATCAACGTCTCTTCGAGTTCTACACCAGCGCTCAGAATGTGCAGCACTTGATACCCTTTCCCGTTGACTTCCGCCTGCTGCGCCTCAATCTCGGCGAGCTGCTGCGTCACTCCACCCAGCTGCAGTCGCCCTCGACGCCGGTGGCGCGGCGCGTGGGCAAGCGCAAATCGTGTTCACCAAAGAAGGCGTGGCTCAACAAGAGCGAGGCCCAGGAGCCGCTGCAAACACTGGCCTCCTTCTACGAGCAACTGTCGACGGCAACGCTGCTGGATGCGACGCTCGAGGAGCGTAACGATCGACTGCAGCCGCATCTCTCGGAGCAGCTGGCGCACGAGCTAGTCGAACGAGCCGTCGGCACTTGTCTGGCCGCCAAAAACTATGCCTACAACTTGTTCGATAAGCCAGAGCAGCGGTGAGTAGATAAAATGAGAGTAGAGAGAGAGAGAGAGAGAGAGAGAGAGATTATCTAATTGAATGCATTCTGCCTCACCCTTCCAGCTTCAATCTCTCGGATCAGCTGGGCAGCTTCCAGTTGCGCTCCAGCTGCGCCCGCTCCCTGGACTATGAGCCCGCCATGCGTTCCATTTGCCGCAGCGAGAAGCAGCGCGCCGGCTTGGAGCGACGCTCGAGTCGCTTCTATCACTATCTACGCAATCACACCAATCACAATCTGTCCAGCTTCTCCCTGGAGCTGTACGACGCCGCCTGCCAGGTGCTGCAGGAGCAGGCGCCCTTAGTCGAATAATTAGTGCAAAGGAAACGGATAGAAAAGGCAACCTTAATGGAAAGTTTATTTACATTTGCGCTACGCAAAGTAGAGAGTTGATCTTATATTAGTTAATGACTGGTTGAGCTCTAGTTATCTACAGTAATAATACACTAAAACGACCTGAACTATGTTAACAATTAAAACAAAAACGAATACCTAATGGCAGCTGTGAAGCTCTGAAACCTAGCAGCAGCAGAGGAAACTATTCGAGGACTTTTCCGCCGGCTTTGGCTCCGGCAGCGGCTGCTGCTGTTGGAGTCCGGCTGATTTTTGTCCCGATTGCGGCTTGGGCTGTGCATCGATGGCCACTTCACCGATTTTGAACTCTTTGAGCTGCTGCACTGCATCCGAGGAGTGTCCGGCACTGTTGAACGCCTTCGTTGCATCCTTGCCCGCCACCTCGAGTATGAGCTCATCGCCGCCTGGATGCCTCTCCACAAATGATGTCACATCGTAGACGTTGCCTTTGTAGATGATCCACACGGGCTGCCCGTTCTTGCCGTTGCGTTCTGCGACCTCCGATTTCTGATAGATCTGTGACATCTTTGGGAATCGCTATCTGTCGCCGGAGATAAAAAGCGTTGTCGCTCTCCAATTGCCAAATGGGTTTTTCTGGTATGTGTGTATGTGTGTGTGCGTCTGCAGTCGGGGACAGGCACGTTGCTGTTCCTCGAACCACAGCCAGACGAATGACTAGCGCTAAATGTTTTAATTATTTTTATGTGTTTATTAGTGGTAAAAGAGGGGGAAATTTAATCGATAAGAACTACGTGAGGTTTTCATGTCGGACGGTCTAATACCAATTTTGCGTGTCGCTACACTTAAGCTATATTGAGTGCCCAATGAGTTGGCACTAGTTGCTAAAGCAAGCGGAAATACTATGAAATAAATTTGCTTATCAGTTGCGATGCGATCGTCACACGGCTCTGCAGTAAGTTCAAAATTCCAATCGGATTAGATGGAGTTAAAAGCTGTTCAAATACCGTTCATATAAATAGATTAAACGCAATTATCACTTGAGTTTAAGATTCTGTTATCTCTTATCTTATCTCTTGCTAGCAAATTTCAAATATAGCGGGCAACTGCTTGCTTTTTTATGTTTAATGGACACTGCTGAAGCAGATGTTTTGCTGGAACTGCTTAAATAGCGAAAGCAGTGCTGGGCTCCATTCACTTTTCTACTAGTGTTAATCGGTGTTCAACTGCTTTTCGAAGCAGTGCATTGCAAAGCGTAGCGACTGTTTTCAATTTGAACTCAAGAAATCATAAATGATATTGACTATTCCGAGTATGTAATAATCTAGAATGGAGGCTTCTATTTATATTAAAGCAATACCCTATGTTGAATGTTAAGGTTTCGTGGCTGAACCTGATTACTCACTCATTCTGTTTACTTAAGGTAAAACCTGCTTGCTCTCTGTCTGATTTATATACTTCTGCATATGCTCACTCAAATTATAGCATCACTGCTTTATACTATAACTTTTCAGTCAACTTGAACTGCTTTTTATTATGGCAAACACTGCTTAGCTCATTTATATAAAATTTCCTTTAGCAGTTGCTATAAAAAATATAATTCAAAGTGTTCCCAGCCAAGTGCCCTGCACTGTGGCACCCGCTGTTGAGATACGACTTTTGTTTTTGTTTTTTTGTTAGATTTCAATGTTATATTCATGAGACAACAACAATAATGAGTAATAATTTTAATATAGTATTATGTATTTCACTTTTTATATGCTATGTATGCATTTTCTTCTTCCTCGTGTTTGGGTTTTCATCGTTTTATTTGTTTTAGAATGCCCATTTTAAAAATTTCGCTAGTATTTAGTTGAACTTCGAATTTTTTCGGCTACTCTTTGACTTTTTTTCAATCGAAATTCAACTTTTTTTTTTGTGGGGGATTGTGTTTCTTCTTCTTTTTGCTTTTTAAAGAGTTTTCTTTTGATTCGCTTAAGTTAATTAAATTGAATTCTACCCTGCTAAATATTATATATCTTTATACACATTATATAAAATATCAGTCAATGGCATCGAGTGCTACTTAAATGGCTCGTAGGACTTTGCTTAACTGTTTAGTTAGTATTATATATATGGATATAATATATATCGTAATTATCTATGGGCTGGTTTTTATCTAAATTTTTGTATGCTTTAATGGATCGTAAGTATTGAAACCATTCAATAAATATATATTTATATACGAGTTAATCGGGCTTCATCAAAACTAATTTATCATTTATATATATTGCATTTGTATATAGATTATATATACACACATAATATATAGATAGATAATGCCACTGGTTGTTTGAGTGCTTTGATTGGAATTGCTGCTACTGCATCTAGTTAAGTTGAAATATATTTATGGGTAATACGTAAGAACTCGAACTCGCTCGCTCTCGTTCTCTCTTTCTCTCTCTCCCTCTATGCTCTCGACCTATACACATGCACACGTTTTGTTCGTCTAGGACCAAAGGCAAAAAAATATATAGTTATACATATATAGGTATATCCTACTATATACAATTTATGGATATTTTTTATAGCAGTTTTATCTTCGAGCTTCCAGCTCCATTTCTCTTTTTTTATAATTATATTTATCTTGGAATAATATAATTTTGTATTTATTTATTTATTTTTTGAAGTAACGACGCCAAATCCTAATATTATATATTTAAAAAAATTGAAAATTTTATAGCTTGTTTTTTTGTTTTGCTTTTCAAACGGTCTTTTATATTTTCTGCAATTTTTTGTTTTTGTGTTTTTTTTTTTTGCAATTTTTGTTGAGATTTGTGCTTAAAATTTACATTGCTGTGTACAAACATATATATATTTTTATTTATATATATATTAGATATATATTATTATAATTATTTAAACTTTAACTTATGTATGTCTATTTATTTATTATCAATTTTTATTTGCGCTATTTGGCTAAACTAAATAGAAGAAAAAAAATTTACACCTGCACTTGCTGACGGACCAAGAAAACCAATATATACACATATAAAAATTATATATATATATTATAATTTTTTAAGAAATCGTTGCTTGAACACATAATACGTTTAATATTCAAATTTAATTCCAAATTTTTTTAAACAAAATTCCAATTTTTACTAAAATTTGTCTTCAATTGTTTTTCTTTTTTATCTTATTAAATTTAAATATATACAAATTGAAATAATTTTATGTATTTCGAATTGAACTAAAAATTTGAATTGTGTTCCATCAAACAAATACAATATATACATATATATATATTTATAATATATAGCATATATATATATGTGATTGATTGATTGATTTTTGGGTGGGGCTAGAGTTTTAGTTAGAATTTCTTTTGATGTGTTTGTTAAAAACTATATAGTTATATTCAAACTAACAAAATACAATATGTACCGTAATGTTGCTATACATACATATATATATGCATTAATTGTCTCAATTTGTTTATGTATAAATATTTTTATCATGCGACAATGGAAATGAGTACAAAACTAAATTGTGTCTGTCCCTCTGCATAGGTGTATGTGTATGTGTATGTATATGTGTATGTGTGTGGGTGTGTGGTGTGAGTGTATCTCCTCTCATCGTTTACAAATTAAATTCTGACTAATAAACAGTCTTTTCGTGCCAGCGCGAAGTTCTTGGACAGATTTCTCTCTCCCTCTTAACAATCAGCTACGGCTCCATCAAAAGCTAAAGGTTGGAATTATTGCGTCGTCTCATCCTGCTGCTGCTGCTGCTGCTGCGCTGCCTGATCCGGTGCCAGACTAAATGTCGCACCGCCAGTGCTGCATGCGGTGCTCTTTAGTGTGGGCAGCGATGTCAGTGGCGCCGCTGCCAGCGATGAAGCTGATGAGGAGGGCGAGACACAGGCGGGCATGCCCGCTGACGAGGCCAACGAGGAGGCGGACGAAGACATGGACGCTGACGAGGCTAATGAGGAGCAGCCAGTGGCCAAGGGCGTGGCACTAGCTGTCACCGAACCAATCGCACCACTCGAACTGGTAGTCGCCAGCGACGTTGGCGACTTGGGCGAACTGATGCGTGAGAAGAATTTTGTGATGGCATTCGGTTTCGATTTGGTGGCTGCGCTGGCTGCTGCCGCCAAGGCATAAGCGTGCGACGCTGTCCCGCTGGCGCTGCTGCAGCTATGGCCAGCTGTTGCTGCTCCCGCCGAACCAGCCGCTGCCGCAGTCGTTGCTGCGGCTGTCGCCAGGCGGTAGCTGGAGTTGCCAGCGCATATATGTTCAGGCACATCGCGTACAGTTTTGTTGGGCGGCGGCTTTGTGTACGAGCGCGTAATTTCCGATTGCTAAAAAGCAAAAACAAAGAGAGAAAAAGACAATGAATTGGAGATCTGGATGGGCGAATTGAGGGCGTGTGCCTCACCTGGTAGCTGCTGCGTAACTGCAGATGACGATCCTGTCCGTACTCGCTGTCCGGCAGTGGTACATGATGTGGACAGCGCGGCGTCTGCTGTTGCTGCAGCTGATATTGGTAATGTTGATGATGATCGGCGCTGTGACTATTCAGCGAGCTGCATGTCGAGGCGTTGCTTTGTTCGCTTTTATAGCTGCCGCTGCCGCTGCTGCTGCCACTGCCGCTGCCGCTGCTGCCTGTGTTGCCATACTTTAAGGTTGTCGCTTCAATGCCGCCGCGTGCCACAAAACTGTTAATACTATGCCCGCTGTTGTTGTTGTTGCTGCTGCTGCCATGTTGCTGCTTCTGCTGTTGCAATTGTTGCTGATGGTGGGAATGTTGTTGCTTATTGTTGTGAAGTTGTTGCTGTTGCTGATTGTTGCTGCCGCTGCTGCTGCTGCTGCTGTTGCCTATGTTGCTGCTGTTGCTACGAATCACAGTCTCGCCACGCACGGCCAGCAGCTCACGTGCTTGGAGCGCATCAACGCGCATTCTACATCTAAATTGATCCCTATCAAGTAAAGGTTTAACATTAATAAGCTTCATTGAATATCAAATTCATTTTATTGGTCTCTGTCCTAGTTATGCCAGTCAGTCAGTTCTTAAGGGAATTTATTTCATTATTATTACTGTAAGCAATTCAATTAGCTATAAGCCCTTACGGCTGTCTTTGAGTCATGGCTATATCAGTCAGTCAGTCAAGCAATCATCGATCTTTGGTCATCACCCAGCGAAGTTATGGCTAGAGTCTTTTATATATTTCCATTGTCTATCTCTTAAAGCTATGCATACATCATCAATTGGTCAATCAATTCTTTCCTTGCTCTGTCACTCAATCAATCAGTCAGCTTATTATATAATCCCATTAAACCTCACACAGTCAAATCAATCAATAATGAAAAACCCCTTTTCTTTTATATTCTCACCCGCATCTCTAAACATTTCAACTTCCTAGCATCTGGGCAATTGTGATTACTACAACAGTTGGTCAGCCAGTCATTCAAGCCATCAGTCAATCATTTAGCTTACCTATCATCGGGTGGTGTGCTCAATGATGTGCGGGTCGGAACGCCAAGCCGTTCCATTCCCGCGCAGCCGGCCGACTGTACCGACAGCATCTGCAACAGAAGAGAGAAAACCAATTAAACAATATGCAAATCGATAAATATAGAATACAATGGACAATTATGGTCTAACTTTAGTTGAGCAAGTCCTGGCACTGGGCCACCTCCTCGACAGTCTGAAAGCGCGACGTCAGGTGCCAACTCTTGCGCACCAGCGGCTTCCGTTGCATGCCATCCGCCGTGCTCCCAACTAGCTCAATGTCAATTTTCATGCGCTGCAAGTTGGGCCAGGGTCGAAAGGTCAGATGGCCCGTATATATAGAGCTTGTGCGCATGATGAACGGCTGCTCCACAAAGAGCAGAGTCTGATGCCAAAGCGATTTGAGAGGCGTCTTCAAGCAGGGATTGCAGCTGAGCTTGAGTGGCAAATGGGCGCGACTGAAGGACACATCGAAGTAGAGCACAAAACATTCGCAATAGCCCTCCTTTTGCACTTTCAACCGAAACTCTCGATCGATCTGGAAATCCTCTCGAGCAGCCGTACGCAAGTCCAAGCTCAAAACTTTGTGAGCCAACGTGAGCAAATGCTCGCCCTTCGTCCGGACAAAGCGGGGTTCGGCCAACGCATAGCGTCGCATGGCATTCATATTGAAGCCGTAGACATCCAGCCACCAGTTGCAACGCTCGTTCTTCAGCAGCTGCTCTGCTCCAGCTAGCAGATACAGTGCACCCAGATCGGGCAGGATGAAACCATCAGGCTTAAGCCAACGATCGCGTGCAACGATTAGCTGCAGTAGCTCCGATTCGTACAGCAGACACTGCCCCATCCAGTTGCAAACAATGCCGTCCACACGCTGCGGCAACTTCACATCTTCCACTCTACCATGCATAACCTTCACAATATGCTGCATCTTATTCGCTTGTACGACGAGCCGCGCATAGTCCGTCACTTGGGAATGATCCACAGCAAAGACAGTTTTCGCACCCGCCCGTGCGGCCATCAAAGCCAAAGTGCCTGTGCCGCACGTGAGGTTGAGTATGGTCTTTCCGGCAAACAGATGACGATTCTCTTGCATGGCCAGCTGGAAGAAACGCATGTGATCTTGATCCTTCTGCCACGTGCGCATATTTTCCAAATGCGCTGCGAAATCGTGACGGAAATCGGAGGATGTCATGCGATCCACAGTTTTCAGTTCGTGGGGTACGTCGCGTGTGGGCGTCGGCAGACGTGGACAGGAGCGGACGCGTTGGGAACAATAGACTTGACCACGACGAGCGCCGCGAAGGCTATCAGTAGTTACAGCCTTGGACTTAGTTGTGCCATTGCCGATTGGCATCTTATCTATCTTAGTGTATCCATTAGGGAGGCTCTTCACTTGCGTTGAGCACTGTTTCGATTCCTTATTTGACTTCACGGTTGCATTTGGAGATGGAACAGCAGCCTGCGCGGGAGGAGCAGTAAGTACTGATATTGGAGCTGGTGGTGGCGCTGTTGCTGGACTAGAGCTGGCTTTGATTTTAAGCGCTCTGATTTTTGCCTTTTCAAGCTGCGCATGAAAGGCGCTCAGAGAAATGGGCTTTTGCTTGCGACGACTGGTGTCGCTTTTGCCACATGTTGCTGTAGCTTTACTATGGTGGGCAGACATTATTACTTTTAAAATAAACAACAAACTAAAATCAAATTAGATTTGAAGCGAATTGCGAGGCAAACTGATAAAATGCAACCCTGCTTACGGCCAAATATCGATTACCAAAAGGATGCCAATCAGTCAAACGTTCACCAAAGACGTTAGACTAGAAAAATTTAAATGGTGCAGATTTCCTTTTGCAGCTCAAGTGGCAACGCCAATGATCTTATTGGATTTTAAATCCGATAGTCGATAATAGAACTAAATTAGTCAGTGATGTATCGGAGTAGCTGCCGCTTGCTACACAATTAACAAAATTTGTTAATTAAAGAATTCGTTTATTTTTTTTCATGTGTTAATCTAATAGTGTGTGCAGTGCAATGTTTAGTGCATTTATATCTATTTGGCACGTGCCATACCCCACGTATTTCTCTTGAAAAAGTCAAATCAAATGTCGCCGCTCATATAAAATAGAAATGTGTTCGCGTAACGGTACCGATCGAATGTGTATGCGCGTGGATTCGTGCGTGTGTGTGTGTGTCTGTGCATGTCTGTGCTTGCACATTTATGAAGAGTGCATATATTGAACGTTTCGCTGCTGCGTTGACACAATTCTGTATGTCCCACATTATTCTGTGGGCCTGCAGCCGCCTGGCCCCGCCCACACCTGCCGATTGATGTGTTCAAGTGAGCGTGACAAATGACAAATCTAGCAAATAATTTCGTTTTTATTTTTCACTCGCAATCTTTGTTGCCATTTAAATTAAGCAGAAATATGCGGGCAAATTTATGAATTGTTATTACATGAGTACGCAGCTATGAAGGCATGTACATATGTATGGATATGTATGTATGTATGTATTTATGCATAATTTGGCTTGTGAACACTTTGTCTCGCATTGTCTAGTTCGTAAGGAACAGCTAGTTCCACTAGTTCTTTGGGCGAATTTAAAATTCTAATAATGGTTGCCGCAGACAACTATTTTTTTTCGCGCTATAATGACATGCGGGAATTGCGAAACACAGCTGGTTCCATTATTTAACTCCACTAGTTCTTTAGCTGAAACGATCAAACGGTAAAAGAGAATAATGGCTGCCGAAAACAATGCTTTAGGGTAAATTGGTGAAAAGTGTTTTAAAAGCTAATTATTTTTATATGCGTGTGCGCGTGCAACATATAACGGTAATAATGAAATCGTCTGTCTGAGACGCACATATTTAATAATCAAATTGAATTATTCATTGGCTAACGGCGGCGAAATAAAATTCGATTAAAACGTGGCGTCGACGCCTTGGGTTATTAGCGGCAATTGTTGTGCTTCTTATTGCGTTGGCAGCGCCGCCAGCAGCGCCACTTATGACGCCCACGCAACGCTTTCCAGCTCTATCTCTCCCTCTCTCTCTCTCTCTCTTTTGGTCTGGCTCTGTTCTAAATGCCAAGTCACGCATGCACACATACCTACCACATAACGTATGTGTGTGTGTGTGTGTGTGTGTGAGATGCTTAGCAGATAGGCAGAAATTGTGATGAAGGCGCTGCTGAAACAAAGCAAAATTCACAATAGGGCATATGCACATACCTATGTGTGCGTGTGTGTGTGTGTAAGTGCTTTCCCATGCTGTTTGCACTATGTATGTGGGCTTGCAATAAATAATGAAACATGTTTCGAGTTGTCAGCGCAGCGAGCAACAATTTGTCAAAAAGTCTTCGTCTTTGTTTCTGCTCTGTATAAAAATGTGCAAAAAGAGAAGAGTATATACACTGAGCACTCGCTAATTAGAAAGCTTCAGGTACGTACATACATTTGTATGTAGCTCGAATGGCTATGCCTCAAGCAGAGAGAGTCACTCGGTCTGGCATGAGGTAGACAACAGTTTACAGTTTAAGAGCCACCTGCAATCGATTTCACAGTTTAAGAGTCCATTCACAGGCCAATTGCATTTACAGTTTAAAGCCACAACTAACTGATTTCACAGTTTTTGGTTTGTACAAATGCCAGTATTCCTAACATTTTACAGTGTATTAGCTAGTCGGCTACACTTGTCTGCAATTTGTCTTAATTGCATTGCCTCTGCTTTGCGGCTTAGCCGTCGGCACTGCTTTTGTCTTTGCCGCAGCGTTACAGCACAGATTGTGCGGGCGGCTCTGTTGTCAAGGTTTAGCCATATGTAAAGTCTAAAAAACAAAAGTCTTTAAGTTAAATCTGGCAAGGCTTTCAATTTGGCGTAGTCTTACTTTTCGATTTGATATAAAATGTAAATCAAATCAATTTGCTCTCATAACGTAAATGACAAAACGAATTTGGCCAATGATAAAAAATTAAAGCCGCAAAGTTAAAGAATCACAATATATATATATATATATATATGTATGTATATATATATAGTATATGTATACGACTACCCTGCAGACGTGCCTTGCATCCGGCAGATACTTTGCACAATAATGGGCCAGACACGGGGCACGCTCCACGTTCTTGTCGCCCACATTGCATAACATGGCTAACAAGTACAAAGAGAGCGTTGTTGAACGAGTCTACGACAGCCAGATGCCCTGCATTCACTTTGGTCTCTTTACTTATATTCATCCAGCCTTGCCTGGGTCCAACTAGTCTACCCTTTATACCAGTTTTGCTCTCTCCAGGGTATATGGAAAGTAATGTAAAAGGCAAAAAGCAGCAGGCAAAACCAAATTTCCGACTGTTTTTGTTATGTAACCACGACGCACGATTCCACGCCGAGTGGGGCTGTTGCTTCAAGGACTCTGTCAGCCACCCAGCCACCCAACCACCTAGCCACCCAGCCAAACACTAAGCACTTGTCGTTGGTCGACTGTCTGTGCTGCGGGTTTTTCGTTTGCTTCTTCCTCACATTTTCATTCGCTTTGTGCGCACAGGCAATGCAGAAGGATGAACGAGGCAAAGCGAAGGCGCAGGCAAAACTTTTTGACACGTGTCGTCGACGTCTCTTGCCCCATTTCACGATTTGTGCTGCATGCCACGCTCTCTGCCCCACTCTTGCCCCGTCTTATTAGAATATGCTTGACTCTACTTACGGGTACAGAATGTTCCGGCTTGGTGGACAAAAGTGTTGCTTCTGCTGCTGTTGCTGTTGCTGTTGCTGCTAATGTTGCTGCTATGGGTGTTGTAGCTGCGGTTGTTGTTGTTGTTGTTGTTGCGGTTGCTGCTGCTGTTGTTGTATCCGCTTGAGCTGCTGCTGCTGCGGCCGCTGCTGCTGCTGCTGCTGCTGCTGATGTTGTCCTTGTCAGTGGTAGGGCCAGAGCAAAGGCAGTCTCGTTGCCCGTCGCAGCTTTATAGTAGTCGTTGCCAGGTTCGCAATCGTTGTTGCAGCTGCTGCGCCGTTGCTTATGTCTTGCGCGTCGCGTTGTTGTTGCCGATAATGCTGCTGCTGCTGCTGCTGTGGCTGTGTTGTGGCTGCGTCGCAGTGTAATCACGGTGACCAGCACGCTGCCACACACCAAACACACGGCGACACCAATGGCGATCAGCAGAACGTGGCCTAAAATGGGAAAAGAATAAATGCAAGTAAGTAAGAAGCTTTTTAATTTATATTTATATTTATATTATTTATATTTATATTTACTATTATATTTATTTATATTTATATTTATATTATATTTAATAAAATTATATTGTAGTATAATCAGCTGCTAAAGATCTGTTTTGGTCTAAAAATTAGCCCAAAAACACATATATAAATAACTAAATATACATAAATAGCAAACACTCTAGCAGAATATAAACAAACTGACCGTTAGCAAATGTTTTCAAAACTAAAGTTCCCACAAATAACAAAACAAAAAATACACAATGCTAAAAATACTGCAAAAATACTCAAGCAATGTTGTGAAACAATGAAAAAGAGCAACGAGGCGAACGCAGTGCGTTCAATGTAAACATGCATACATAACTGTAGAAACAAATCTATATCTGTATGTATATAAATACAAATGATATATATGTATATTTATATATATAAATGAATGTATGTATTTATGTATGTATATAAATGCGTAAGCGTCTAGACTAGATAGCAGACGACTTAAGCGATATCGAGCAACACATGCGCAAGCGTCTGGCATTCATAGCTGCTCATATGTGTATGTGTGAGCCTACGTGTGTGTGTGTGTGTGTGGGCGGACGGGCAGAGACCGATAAACAAAGCGTACCAACTAACCAGCGAGCCGCACAGACAGACATGTTATACTTATGTTGGCTATTTAGCCATGATAGACGCACACACACACACACATGTGTATATGTATGTGTGCAGACGGAAAGAGAGGCCGTTCATATCGCTAGACATGTTCTATGCACAATTGTTTGCGTAATACAATATTACACACAGGAAAAGAGACAAGTGATGCTATGGCTATAGCTAGGCTGAAATTTTGAGTATTTAAAAAACATAAAATATCGTCCCACTGATTAAGTAATAAAAATTTTATAGCTAATATAATGAGCAACTATTTTTGAAAATTACTTTTCAAATTATTGACGGAACTTTGCGGGCTTTATTAAAAAAACTTAATGGAATGACTGATATAAAAAATGTGAGATTGATGGCTTTGGAGTAGTTAAAAAAATGATTGAATTACTTATTAGCCTTAAGTGCATACCGAAAATAAATGTAGAATAACAAAAGAAGTATTTAAAAAATATTAAACATATAAAATTTAAATAGATTCATTAATCAATCTATCATCAAAAAGTAACTATATTTATATATGTATATATCGTAGTATTTTCGTCTGATCAGAGCCCATGGGGCCTTGAGGGGCGCCAAGTAAATATTTGTAATGTCTGTCGCACGTTTGTTTGCTGTACAGTTACAATTAAGCGAGGCCAAACACGAAAATGAATGACGCAGCTACAATGTGTGGGGCATTAACTTTACAGGGGAAGATAATGGAAGTTGTATTTTTTTTTCTTTTCTGTTTGGGATCAGTCGGCAGTCAGGTGTGCGTCTGGGTCAATGAAAGGCCAAAGAAACAAAAAAAACAATAGGATACAAATGAAACAAAAACTGAACAGCGATAATGTTCACGATTATATCAAATACCAAAATGCCAGACGAATAAAAAACAGAAAAAAAATGAAGATAAATTTGCAAAAAAAAAGAGAAAAGGAAAACAACAAAAATGAAGTTAATCAACTAAAATTAAAATGTACAACGACTTGTCAACAGAGTCGGCGTGTGTGTGTGTGTGTGTGTGTGTGAGCTGGTGTGTGTGCGCGTGTGTATTTATGCTTGTCTGTCTGGCTGCAACTTTACAACAGTACAACAACAACAACAACAACAAGTGGCACTTTAGACTTTTGCGCATTCCCAGCCGCTGTTGCGGTCGACGCCGACTGCGACTGCGACGGCGACTGCGACGTTGAACAGGTGACTCAACCGGCTCAACGCTCAGTTTTTTGTACATTTTACCTGTTCTCATTTTTTTTCTTTTTTTGTTTAATTGCATTGTTGCTGTAATTTTTATCGCAGTTGACTGATTGAGCGCGTCTGCGACACAGTCATATCTAAAAAAAAAGCAAAAAAAAAAAATAGCACTCACAGACACGTGCATACAAATGCCCTGTAGAAGCGGGTCACATGGTTAGAGCAACTAGATTGCGTCAGGTTGCGTTGGTGCGGGCTTCGAATTCTGAGAAATAATACAGCTAATAAGATGTCGAAGCTTGCAGCATTTACTTCCAAGTAATTAAATTAAATGCTTAAATTAACAACTTTTGCTTCAAATATAGGGTAGCTAAGTTTCTTCGAATTTGCCACACCCCCAAGAGCCGCATAATGGCCGTATAGATATATCTTTCCATATATATTTAGCTATATATATGTATATTATCTCTCTATCTATCTAACTTTCTATATATACCCATATCTATTTATCTACCTATTCGTTTCCCGTACGACTATGAGAAGCCTTCACTGCATAACGCCTAAATTGAAATCAATAGTCGATGGTAAAAATTGTAGTTTCCTGGAATCAACTGTACCGCATGCCAAATCGGGCACGCAATAAATTAATGTGACATATTAAGCTAATGTCATTATGAGTCTTAAAATTGATATTTGTTCAATATGTGGACAGCTGTTTAGCTTACGGACTTAGCAGGCAGCCAGCCAGCCAGCCAGGCAGTCGGGCAGTCGAGCAGTCAGCTTGTGGTCTGCCTTCGATTTGTTGTGCGAGAGACTTAAATGGATTTTGTGGCTATTTTTAGTTGACGCGCTGATCTCCTAGTGGGCACACACGCACACACACACACACACACACGCCGCTGGCTGTGGTGGGCAGTGTGTAAACTTGTTTGCAACGCCAATGCAAAAATAAAAGCACATAACTTTAAATGAGGCAGGGGCAATGGGGCGGCAAATGTCCGAAAACTTGACGGCAAGTTCCTTGAACTGCAACGAAGGCAGCTATGCAAAAATCACGTCGCCGGGAGTGCACAGCTATGAGATAACCTAACCCAAGTGATGATAATCCTAATGAGCTGATTATATTATTATCATCATTTCTATGATTAAATCAATCATTCATTATAATTATTATAACACTAATCAGTTTAGCCCTTGTAATTTATAATAAATAAAATTACATCCTCATTATCATCATTAATTTCAAAGTACATCATCATCAGCCTCATCATAATTAGCATTCTTATTATTGTAATTATTATTACAAAGATTTACGATGACTAGAGTAATTAGTTTGTAGGATAATTTCATCAGTCTGTGACATAAACTTGATATAAACCAATATACCTAATTTATAGGGTATACGTACAGAATGAATGGACTGTTCAAATGGTAATCGGGCAATTTGGAGGCTGACAATTCAATTGATTAAGTGAAAGGAGGTGCCTCGAGGTGGGTTTATCTGATATGCCATGCTATATGCCATATACATATACATACCTATATGCATATATACACATACATATGTGTGTCTATCTGTAGCTTTTGAGCTCGGTTGAATTCTCGCTGAATTCTTCAAGCTATTAATTTAATGATTATGATAGCAGCGCTAATGACAGTCAAGTGCATTTATATATATATATACATATATATATATATAAAGATATAGATATAGATGTAGTAGAAATACGTATACATGTTATGAGTATTTGGTCAGTAGGAGCATTGACATCTTAATTGATGTCAAGGTCTAGCTGAATGAGGCGAAATGTCGGGATTGCAACTAAACTGAACTCGCATCAACTCAACTCAACTGAAATCGTCGCTTTAGCATGATAATACAAGTATATATACTGCGTATACACTAGCATAATGCGCAGATGACATTGAACTTGAAGAAATTGTAGTGTGTGAGAGAATTTTCGTTATGACTTGGATCTATTCAATCCAAATTGCTCGAATGTGATGCAATTCGCAAGACTTTGTAACCACTGCCAATTAAATTCTAGCTAAAATCAAATAGACAAGAGATAGAGGCTGAACAAGTGAGGGAGAGAGGGAGAGAGAGAGGTCGAGTAGCTGTAGAGCGTCACGTATACGTATGCCTAGCGGTAGTCGTATCTGTGGCCCGACGTCTGATAAACATTGAACAGAAAATAAAATAGAATTTTCTGACAACTGACGTCAGTCAAGTGCGCCAGACAGCCGCAGACGTAGACAGCGTTGCAGAAATTGTTCACATTCACGAATTTCGAATATGACTGTGTGAATAAACAGCGCAAATATTCGTTTATAGATTTTCAATTTGCCATAAACGGCCATTCTGGCCAACCCAGTCGGGCGCATGAGTGAGAAACAGAGCAAAGCGCTCCATAAAGATGAGTAAGCCCGAGAATTGTAGTGGAATGCTCAGGGCATTATCAACTATTGATAATTGACATAGTTCAAGAGACGAGAGAGAGAGAGGAAAGTAGTGGAATTCTCATATCATCACGTGCCATTTGGCATTACAAACACGTGATATTTCATCTATGCAATATGTGCTGAAAGTAATTGCTTGAAATCAGCTGTAAAAATGAGTTTTTGCCTTTGTTGGACTTTAGTTTTCGGGGCCTGCCATTTGGCATTAGAAACAGCTGATATTTGTCTGTCTGGGCGCAAATTTTGTTGCACACGCCATGGACAACTGGGCTTTTGGCAAGCGATGCAGGCGAAACACGAACATTTTTTGGCAGCTCAACAAGCAGAAGCGAACTAAATTTTCAATATCAACATGCAAAAGGCAAAAGAAAAAAGAAATGCAAGCGACAAAGTCTCGTTGCTGACGCCGCTTCCGTTTCCGTCCGCGCGAGAGAAAGAGAGCGAGAGAGAGAGAGAGAGAGAGCGAGCGCAAAGTCGAGTCAACCCTTTTGATGCAATCGCCGACGCAGACAGCGCAAAGCGTTTGCTGGCAAACATGCAAATGAATGGGGCAAAAAAAATGTAAAAGGCGTAAAAAGTAAAATAAAGTAAAGCGAAGGCAAAGCAAAAGCAGAGCCCAGCCGCAGACGGGGCCACCACAGAGATAGCTAGAC